CAACAACAACAACAACAACACTCTCAGACACAGTTGGCAAAATTGACGTCGCCTGCTGCTATTTCAAAAATAAAAATTTGCGATCCGAAGAAAGAAAAAAGAAAACCCGACGGTTCGGAGAATATTGCAAAAATAGAAATGGATCCCGGTAAAATAACGGAGAACAAAGTTTTTGACAGTTAGTAGTACAGTTAGTCTTATCTTTCCTATACACGTGTCGTACACGTCGATCTTTCTCGTCCATCACCTGGTACGACGCTCTAAATTTGCACAATCTGTTTTTAGGCGCGAAAAAACATTCGAAGAAAGAAAATCGTAAATCACCAGCGTACACAGTGGACACTCTAGGACCTGCTCTTTTTTCAACTCCGGATATTATTCGCCGTGTTGGTACAAACGGCGATTCGAAAGTTCAAGAGAACGTAGTGACATCGTTACTTTCTACGACACCGCCTGCGTCTGTTGTCTCTTCCGGGAATTCCGTTGTTACACAGGTAACACATTCGTCGTTGTCGTCGTTATCGTCGTTATCGACATCGACAACACCTTCCGCAACATCGAATCGTTCAGGTTTGTATCGTACTCGCGTACGTGTAGGAAAAAAATTGTTCAAGTTTATCATTGCAAAATTTTGCGATCAAAGGTATCATTTCTACCTCATCTGTCGACCGAATGGCACATTCTTCCGAAACTGCCGTAGTTGTGGAAAAGAGAGAAAATAACGATTGTTTGGTAGAAAACCACGAAGCAGAATCTAAATCGGTTATAAAATCGAACGTATCGGAAGAGTTACAGCCAACTTTAGATTCGGGTAAATATATCGGGTGTAGTAGGTAATCTTTGACGGAGGAAGAGACGTCGAAGCAGTTGTAACATGAATATCTTACAGGTGGTATAGAAGGCGAGGAACATTTATTAGCTACATTGGAAATGGAAGCCAGTAAACACGAAGAGGAATTACTAGCCGAGGCATTGTTGTTGCAAGAAGAGCTCGGCGTCGTTGATTTGGCTGAACATGTACTAAGATTTCTGTTTTTCATAATATTAACGTT